AGCTTCCGACGGCCGGGGCGGACGCCAGGCGTTTGCGGACGTGTCCCGGGTTGATCTTGCTGTTGTGTGGTTGGTTTGATGAACTGCAGGTCTCCCTGACTTAGTCCCGGATCCCTATTACATCCAGGCGTCCACCTACGTCCAGAGGATGTCCATGTACAACTTAAGGTGTGCCGCCGAGGAGAACTGCCTGGCGAGGTAGGCATTGCCCCCGGCTCTCCGCCTCTTCGCTGCGGGTCCTGGGGCTCACCCGGAGTGCCCGAGGACACGGTGAAGGTACAGAGGAGCGAGGCCAGAGGGCTCTCGAGGAAACGTCGCCCGCTCCGTAGCCTTCTTCGAGCCTGCCTCAGATGGTGGGGTGTGCACGCAGGGAAGCGCTACCGCCATGTTAGAGAGACAAACCACAGATGCTTCGAAGAACCTGCATTTTGTGAAAAGTTATGCTGCATGTTTCTCTCGCAAGGATCGTTTGAACGTATCTGAATTTTGGAAAACGGAGGCAGCTAAAAAAAGCACTTGGATCTGGTGATTTTGATCTCTCTCCTCTAATCCAACCGGATCACATTCTACTTCATTTAAAAAAACCCAACCCTGACCTATTCGTAACTAGCACAAGTTACTATTAAAACTATAACGTGCTAATTGTTTCTGGGCCTATGCCTGGTAACGTCTCTTAAGACTAAAATCTCCCCGAAAAGTGTTTCATAGTCTTTTAGCGGGTTGAAATAACAGCTTTGCTATGAAGTTAGGTCCTGTCCAGTTGGCAAAGAGAGATTTTTCCTGTTTTGTTTGGAAAGGAATCACCGTGGCTGTTTTTAACCATTTTAACTTGTTTGATACCTTATCACGCAAAACAGATTTATTTACATATTAGCATCATTAATTGATGTCAGACCATTTCCAGGGTTGGGCTCTTTCTTCACTTGCTGGAAAAAGAAAACATGGCATAAGAAGCAGTATTTTTTTTATGCTAGCTTTACAGTGACGACTAACTGAAATGTTCTTGCTGGCTATCAGTTGATTAAAATATTCCAGTATATAAAAATACTGTTGATAATAGCTATGTGAAATAGGAAAATACAGCCCGAGGCATGTATTTATTAATTTCTTTTACAACAAAAACAAGCATCTGTTGTGTGATCTTACATACACATTGAGTTATTTCAGTGAACAGTAACTGATGAAATTGTATTTTTGGTACCAGAGTAACTTTACAGCTAAATGCTGATCTGCTTTGGGGGCGAAGGCAGAGAGTCAGCGGTCAAACTCCGGTTTATATTATTAGAAGCAGATCTGAATCTTATGCGGTTCTTGGTCTGACACCAGGCACTTCTGAGCACACCATGGAGAATTCTTCTGCCTCTCCAGTGCATGAGCTTTGTGGGGGCTGAAAAGATCTGTGCTATCAGTTGTTTCTGAGACAATATAAAGTGTTTTTTTAAGGTGTTTCTTGCATGTGCTTACGCTCTTTTTTTGCATTATTACAGTTCAGCTTATCGAGCAGATGTTAGAGACTATGACAATCGAGTGCTCCTGAGATTCCCCCAAAGAGTGAAAAATCAAGGCACATCAGATTTTCTGCCCAGCAGACCCCGTTATTCATGGGAGTGGCACAGCTGTCACCAGTGAGTGAAGTGCTCCTTATGGTACCTTCTAATTATCTTTTTCACTAACAACTTCTCACTTACAAGGTGACATTTTCTAAAAATGCAGTGAGGCGAGGGAAGCCGTGGGGTAACTTTAGCCTTTTACTGTCTGGTTAATTTTATGGTAGTCGTAATTATTCTTTATGAAACCAAAATGGATATGAAGCTTATCTACTAGTATAAAACTGTTACTGTATAAGTTCATTATAAATACCACTGTCAAAACTGATTTCAGACTTGTACCTTCTCCCTTTAAGTACACTTTACATAGGTTATAGTCCAGTGACACTTCAGTCATCCAGTAAATAACAGTCCCAATCATGTTAAAATAACTGTGGAAACCCTAAAAGGTACATTTACTAGCATGTTCCCTATAATACATCCTGACCCATACCTCTTGACCTGAATTTTATGGGTCAGTTCTTGACATGGAATGGTCTGGTTAATATGGAAAAGAGATGATACTCAGTTGGCTGATCCCATTATCAATATCATATCGTGATACTTTAACATAGCAGTATTGCTCTAGAAATAGCAAAATTACTGGAAACATGGCAAGGCAAACGTAGTAGAACATTTTCAACATTTTGGGAGCAGGTAGCACTGCAAACTTGTACCTTTTCATAAAATTCACATACAGCAGTTTGCAGGTTTGTTCCAATTTTTGCTATTTTGTAGCAGGACCAATTGTAAAACACTAAAAAGCTTACATTGCTTCCACTCACTGAAAGTACAATTCTGCTGATACAGGTACATAAGTGGTAACTTAATAATATTCTGTTAAAAAGATAATACGTAATATGGGCTTGATCTAAAGGCCCCTGGAGTCAATGGAATATTTCTGTCTAGCTTCAGAGGGTTTAACCTTTCAATGCAGTATCAGTATCATTAGACTGATACTAGTAGTTTATAAATCTTGTAAGGACCAAAACGCTAAAATAAATCAAACCAAATTAAAAAAGCCTCCATAAATGCTTTAGTTAATCCCCACTCCTGAAAAAATCCATCAGCAACAACAAAAAAACCCCAACTCTGGTGCTTAAAAAGCTCATAAATTTGGATAAAGAGCGATTGAAATCTTCCACTTGTAGAAAAGCAGTTTCTTACTCTGCCACGACAGCCCAGCTATCACTATCCAGATGCAAAGTGTCTCTGATGTTGATTCAGTTCTTGGACAGAAAATACATTGCCTACCAAAAAAATGCATTTCTTGTGATTATTTCCATGGCAGTGAAACAAGCTCATTTGGAAATGAACTATAACTGCCAATTAATTTGGCTAGCATCGGACTTCAGTGTTAGTCATCATCATCTGTGGACTGGTTTTAGTGTTCTTGACATGCGTGCTTGTGAGGCATGTGTGCTCCTCTTTGTTTTGACAATATGTTTGAATTCTGTTTAATTATGTCTTTTTCATATACCTCTTGAGCTGAAAGCACTCCTAAATAACAGCAGCCACATGCTGCACAGACAATGTGCAGGTAGATAGCACAAGTTTAGTCTTCCACATGTTTGGAAAAAGTGAAATTACAAGAATAACAGGAGTTGGAAGTCCACAGTAAGAGCTAGAATTGACTTTATGTGAGAGCAAGAAAAATGCATCACTGTGCTCAGGTCAAAAGAATACACACTTTTGAAACAGAGACTGCATTAAGTATAGACTACAAAAAGTGTTGACAATGGGTGAGATCTGCATTGCTAGTACACAGAAACCGATTTCTTTATGCAGATTTTTGTTTTCTGAAGTTATGGATGTGTTACATTGATTAAGAGCCATGGAAATGTGAAAGTAAATTTCTGGGTTTTTGCTAGCAGGTAGCAAACTTCCCTGGAATTTATAATATGTAAGGTAAGCATTCCTAGCAAAACTCTGGCTAAAGGCAGTTATAAGATGTATAATTCAAATATGAACTACTTAATACTTGCTATTATTATTGGAAAAGAGCTGAAACAGGAAATTTTGGAAAAATGGTGCTGCTGTGGAGTCATTCCCTTAACAAATTAAAATCTATTATGCATTTAAAGAAGATGGCATTTTTATAGTAATTGAAAATTAGAACAATGGAAATTTAATTTAATTGAATGGCCAGTAATAGGAAAGCATGCGAACACACAAGTTCTGTGTAATAAATAAGATTTGGCCAGACCTAACAGAAGGTAGATCAAGCAGAAATACGTTAAAATGTTATTGACAAGATCTGATCCATCTTTAATGAGGAGGGACTTTTTACAAGGGCATATAGTTATAGGACAAGGGGTAATGGCTTCAAGCTGAAAGAGGGGACATTTAGATTAGCTATTAGGAAGAAATTCTGTACTGTGAAGGTGGTGAGGCACTGGCACAGGTTGCCCAGAGCAGCTGTGGCTGCACCCTCCTTGGCAGTGTTCAAGGCCAAGCTGGATGGAGCTCTGAGCAACCTGGTCTAGTGGATGTTGTCCCTGCTTGGGGCAGCGGGGTTGGAACTAGATGATATATAAGGTCCCTTCCAACCCAAACCGTTCTGTAAGTCATTCTATGATTCTATGATAATAATACATCTATGGTTTAACAGACATTATCACAGCATGGATGAGTTCAGCCACTATGACTTGTTGGATGCAAGCTCACACAGAAAGGTTGCTGAAGGACACAAAGCAAGTTTCTGTCTTGAAGATACCTCCTGTGATTATGGATATTATAGACGGTACGCATGTACAGCGCATACGCAGGTAAGAGTTGATTTGGAGACAACCATGTTTGTTTTCCTCCTCTAATTTAGCTTTGGATATTTTTTTCTACCAATCATCTGCTACCGTAAATTATCTGATGCCCTAACTAGCTCTGAAATTCTCCATCGTAGAGGCCAGGATAGCAGCTTGGTGACTTATAATTTACCCAGGTGCTGCTAAATGTGGGTGTCTCATTAAAATGCAGGGACACTCATTAGCATCACTGGTAACTGAACTGTATTAAAACACACCACAAGCTCTTGTGGTTATAGGACTGGTCAAGGGAGCTAAAGGGAAGTCAAGACAGAATCAGTGAAGAAGTCCCCCACAAACCGCTTGGTGATGTCCTCGGCTAGTCTCAGAGCTCACAGCTAGTATTTTTCTCCCTTGCAAGAGCATGAGGCTGCCAGGTGCTGAATTCCCTTAATACCTATAGCTACCGGCTGGCAGTCCAACACAGAAAACTTACAGTGTAGTTTTATGCGTCTATAGAAGGCTGTTAAAAACAACATCAGCCATATGAACATTATGATGGGTCATATACAAATGTAAAGCAAGGTGTTAGGCCCTATTAAGAGAAAAAATAAAAAATGGAATGTACTATTACGATATTATGCAAATCCATGGTAGACTCTTACCTTGCATAGTGCATGATGTTCTGGTCACCACCTCTCAAAACTGCCACAAAAAAGCTTAAAAAACCCAAACTAACCAACCCCAGGAGAACAAGGATGATCAGCAGTGTAGTATGGCTACCACACTAAGAGATTTCATAGACTATTCCATTTGGAAAACCAGAAGTAATACCACATCTTGAGTGGTCCTGGATAGAAAGAGGGAGTTGTTGATATTCACTGGTTCTCACAGTACAAGAATCTAAGGATATCCAAAAGAACTGTCAGACAACAGCTTTAAAACAGAGGAGAGTACTCTTTTGACTCATGAATAAAGTATTAAACTCCTTGCCATAGGATATTGCAGACATCAAAAACATCTATATGGGTTAAAAAAATATTTAGACAAAGTAATGGAGGCTATTAAACACAAAAATCTGATGGTACCCCATGTCTTAAATACAGTTAAATGCCTGGTGGAAGGAATTTGCCTGGGTAAAGGACATTACACATCCCATTTCTTACATTCTTTTCTCCTCAGGCATGAGCTGACCACTGTTGGAGACATGACACTGAGCTTGATGGATCTGTGGTTTAACTCAGTGTGGCCATACTTATACATAAACTTGTATCCCTTATTCTGTAGTTTTTAATCTAGGAGGTAGTTATTTTATCACAGAGAAATGACAACTGTGCTTCACTGGCTGACATGTCCACATTTGAATTTTAAATATAATGAATGATCTGCAATACATAAATGCTTTGAAGAGGTTTTGTAAATATCTTTTCTCCTTCTGTATACTATGACATCTAACTAAGCAACATACATATTTTACAGCTGGAGTATTTGTGTCACTAGAATCATGGCTGTGTCAGCGTTTCCACTGGAAGCCCATATTTCAGGGGTTTGTAATTGGACTGTAAAACTTTCCTCCAGCCTCAGACTTGGCACATACATGCTAGAGTCTGAGCTGATCACCAGCTGGGTTGAGAGGGAATTCCTGCAGGACCTGGGTTTTGTGCACTCTGTGTGTTGCCAGAACAGATCAGCTTTGCCCAGAGCAATCTGTATCAGTCACGCTTAAAGACACTGGATTTTAACCACCGAAACATATATGAGGATTCTTACTAATGTTCGTAACAGCAAAGAATTTTTCAGAAAAGATTCATCTGGAAGAAAGGCTACATTTTCAGTTCCATCAGATTCTTGTGTCACTGTTTGCCTGAAGAGACACCATTTCCTTGCAAATATCAATGTGAAAATAGCCCCACACTCTACTACTATGCAGAGATGGCACTTTGGCAGAGTACATCTATAGCAAAAAGTCGTGTGATTCGTAAGGGTAAAGGCAGGTTCCAACATGGTGATCAAGTTTGTGCTCAGGGACCTCAGAAGCTATTTACTTGAGATTCACAGATATTTAGGTCCAGTATTTGGTCAGTTTTGTGGTGTTTTTTCCTCACCATTTGTAAAGAACAGTGAGTAAAACATCAACAATATTTGCATAAAAGGAGTACTGTAACAAGTGCTAACAAAATACAGATATCTCACAGAAGAACATCAATAGCGCGGGCGTTTCTTATGCAGTGGTAATACAGTGCTGCCTATAAAAGTGATTTGTTAGACTTACATATTCTAGTGCAGATATTCAAATAAACTGCCAAGATAAAAAAAACCTCATTTCCTGAGGTAATTTTCTTAGTGAAAGGTGATGGTTAAGTGAACTTCAGTCTGAGTGTCTCTAATGTCTAGAGTGCTACTATTCCTAATGATTTTTTGACATCCATCTTCACTTCATTTTTAAGGGCCTGAGTCCTGGCTGCTACGACACTTACAATGCTGATATAGATTGCCAGTGGATTGATATTACAGATGTAAAACCTGGAAATTACATTCTGAAGGTAAGGGTTTTGGAAGTGGGGAGATTTGTGGGGTCTTTTTTGTTTGTTTTTTAAAGAAGTAAATCATATGCATATAGAATTTTGAATGAAAGTTATCAACTCAAACCTGGAAGTAGACAACACTGTGCTTTCTCCCCTTAAGGTCAGTGTAAATCCCAGCTATTTGGTGCCTGAATCCGATTACTCCAACAATATAGTGCGCTGCGATATACGCTATACAGGCCACCATGCGTATGCCTCTGGCTGTACAATTTCACCGTAAGTACACTCCTTTATCTTTGCAACTGTTTTATATTCACAGGACTAAAGCTGACAAACAGATTTGTAAAGCTTAGAGATTTATTTTGTATTGAAAAAAATAACTCCCACCATTAATTCTAGTGACATCAGCTTCTTCAGTATATTTTTTCTTGGGTTTCAGGATCTAGTGTGATACTTCAGATGGTACTTTTCAAAGGTCTTTTTTGGCAGGAATGATGGGAACGGTTGCTTCACTGTTGACAAGTGCATAGTTATCAGCAATTCAAATCCTGACCTCCGGTAATTAAAACTGTTTCTGTAAGGCTAGCACTGATTTTTAAAAATTATTTTGTCTTGAAAAACAATCATAAGTGAGAATTTTGCTCTTGCAATTGTGCCATCAGGATATATAGCACTTTTAAAATTGCCACTACTGTCTGGGCTGCTAGATAACTACCTCTGGCTCATGCCTTCTTTGTATTTGCACTAAAACCTTTCTGTGCTTATTCAAGACCCATTTATAGCATCCACACAGAACTGTTGAGCAGTTACAGAGCTCTTAAAACATTCTGCAAAATCCCACACGTGTATGTTACTTTGCTGCTGCTGCTGACACAGCAGCTATCCTCCTTGAAACAGTTCTTCCAGACATACTCCATTTACAGTTTAGTTCTTTGAATGTTTGAACAATGCCACAATTATGCCTCTCCCCCCTGCCCCCGCAAAGGCAAATTCATTTAATTAATGCTCTCATGGTAGACCTACTGTAGCTTAGTATCTATGAAACACACACACAAAAAGCAATCAGTCTTCTGTTACACTGAGGTAAGCAGTTCTCAGGATTACGTATTAGTTGCTCATACAAAATATTTATCAAGTGGTTTCATTTTCATTACATAAGGAGTGAGTATCCACATTGTATAGAGGTTCATGTGAGAGAAATTCCAGAGCAGTAAATGAAAAGTAAAATAAATGACCAGTGTAGTCTGCTATAACAGCATCAGTGAAACAAACATACTGAATTAATGTGACTATTGCTTAATTAGCCTTTAAAATATTCATTACTTCCTTTGTATTAGAAAACCAGTAGTTAAATGAGACTGAAATGAGAAACATCTTTTCACACCAGTGTGGAAATCTGTATGTATAATCACACTTTGGTCATAAACGTGTGAAATGAAATGGCTGCAGCAAAATCCTCTGTTTGCTGTTGTGGTGTGGTGGTGAGACTTGCAGGAAACAGAGGAAGAAGAACAACAGGCATCCTGCAGGTCATGAGCCATTATTTTTGTCAGACCTGTGACAGCAGCTTTTAAAACATTTTTCTGTAACAGGACTGACTAATTGGTACTTCTAGGAACACCATAACTGCTCACATTCACGTTGAAGGGTAATTTATGCTTCACGCCTTTAATTTTTAGTCTCCCCATCTTACCCCTGTATTTGTTATCACTAAATATATTCATGCAGGTTGAGGCAACAAAACTTCTGCTATTGTTTGTTGACCTGAGCCTTGAAGCTCACAAAAGGGTATTTAGCAGATAGTCCTTTTGTATCTGCTTGGTTATCTGCCTAACATTGTTTCTTTTCTTTCGACAGATACTGAGAAAGATGCAAGAAAATGGATGAGACCTTGCCAAATGTTTTGAACTGAAGTATCGTTATATAAACTTCAATAAGATGTAAACACTATAGAAACAAAAGTACAGAACATACACACATACACTCACACACCTTATGTGATTTTGAAGCACCTAGGTGCTTCTTAACCAAATCTGCAACTGGATTTTAAGCGTTTAAATTGGCATTGCTTTTATTACTGTTGAAATGTGTGGAACTGGTGATTCATGCACAGATACTTTAAATTTTGAAAATCTAACTCATTCATAAAAACATGAGCATTTAACTCCTGAAAATTTGGAGTTTAGGTGATAATAGACTTCAGTGGGAGCATTACTGGTGAATGAGTTGAACACATTTTAAAAGGTAGGAAAAATTTATGTAAAATGAATTAAATAAAATGCAGTAGAAAGTACTAATGACAGCTATCTCGGAAAATACCAGAGTGAAAACCAGCTTAAGAGTAATGCTACAGTACCATTAAAACTTGCTAGGACACGTTGATATGAATAAGAAAAGTACGTTCAGTTTTCAAGGAATATTAACATATAGCAGAGAAATACATATATATATATATATCTCAGTTATACCACTGAAAGAAAAGTTATGTTTACATTTTTAATACATTAGAAGTTTTTCCATTTTCTTAAGTAAAAAACAGATGGGGTTTTGAAAGAAACTTTTCATCTGTGGAAATGAATTAAAGAACTTAACCACCTTTCTATGTTCAAGAGATTTGTCAAGGTGGGGCTTTTAAAAGACTTCTGCAAACTTAATGTGGACAAAAATAAATACCTGTCAAGAAAAGGGCTCTTGGAGATGATGAAGAGTCCCTGAAGTAGTCATCTGTGAAACACATCCAACTTGAACAGGTTAACCATTAAAATAATACAGGCAATTAACTCAGGTGGCACCACAAACAGAAGTAGGTCAGAATCTATAACAAAGTATTTTTATCGTGAAGAAGCCTACTGCCTGCTTCCCCCTTAAGTACTGTATTTGACTTTAAAAATGTATATCTCAGTATTCAGACAATGAAGTTGAAAATATACTATATATAGAGGGAGAACAAAAGTCAATGTATTTAACATCCTACTTGAGGCTGTTCAGGAACCAAATGTAACATTGTTAAGGGGAAAAGCTTCCAGCCCAAATTAAAGTTTTTGCTGAACTGCTTGACTGGTGCTGGGTACACCACTCCTCCTCCCATCCCCAAGTTGTTTTGCTTTTGCAGTGCACCCTGCTGTAAGCTACAGTAGCTGTGATTTTGTTTTTAAACTGTGAAATAACACATCACAAGGGGATCTGGTGTTTTTTTCAGAAGATTTCTTATCATGTAAAATGAAGGATCGACTTTTGAAACAAAGGGACCTAGAAATATTAGCATTGGTTAAGTTTAATCAGCAGTTCAAAACACCTAATGAAACATGGAAAGCTCAATATCTTTTAAAAATCCCTGAAAAATAGACATACTATTTAGTACAGTTAAAAATGAGAAATCTGAGGAGTATGGAGAGGTTTTATTATCACTATTGAGAATACTTCAGGCAGTATCTGGAAGTATTTTATGCAATGGAACCCTATGAATGTAATTTGGAAGTTTTATGAATTAATCATAATATCATTTAAGGATCAGCTTGTTCTTTACTACATATAAGCTTATTTTGTGATTATAAAGTACTTCCATCTTAACTGTAACTCGTTTACAAATTTGCACAACTAACATACATACTTAAAAAGAATTAAGAACCAGCATCCCAGTGATTACTGCCCAACATTGGGAGTGGGTGCAGAATGAATATGATTTATACCTGCAGGTCCCTTTTTGTTTGCTGAGAGATCCATTTTAGCAATCAGTCACCAGTATGGGCAACGAACAGAAGAAAAATTTGGAAACTAGATTTATTAGAAAGCCATTTATTACGTCTGCAAAAATGATAGTCTGTGTAAAGCCTAGGCTTCTGACATCTCAGTCCAAAGGGTTTTTAAGATTAAGAGGTGTTAAGGAATGCAAGTGTATTCACCTTTCGATAGACTTAATGTCAAAATTGGGGTGAGAGTCTTGACAGCAGCCTGGGCAATGGACACAAAAGCTACTGTAATGGAAGCTAGGCTGTGGGCACGGGCTGCTTCCTGGTGAGAGGTGGTGTGCTTGTACCTCATTGTGCCTGATGCTGAATGTGGGAAAAGAGAGCAGAAACTGGACACAGAGCAGCCACAGAAATTGAGTTTTTCCCTCGGCTTACGAGGCAGTAACCTGCTCATGTCTATACCCAAACTACTTGCAGAACTCCACTGGAAGTCAGCAAGGAGCCAGAGGACCTTGAGCATCTGTGTAGGTGGAGCAAGTTGTAATACTGGACTTAGTCCTTTCAGTGGGAACGGCCTGGTTCAGAAAGGTGTTGAACGCCGTAACTTTGAATATTGGGGATATTGTTGCTACAAAAATGTAGCTTTTTTTCCGTAGCAAAATATTGTATTTGTTTTGAAATGTGTGTTAAGCAACATGACAGTGATGTACAATAGCACAAAAATTGCCTAAGGTAACATGAACAGTCTATTTAGAAAAACAAGGGATTTTAGGATTAAAAAAAATGAAGGAATGTGACTTTAACTTCCCCTGTTTAACTACAGCAAATCACAAAGCAGTAGAAGAGTTTATTATTATATAGCATGTGTAGAAGTAGTTCTAAATAGGGGAGTGCCAACCAGTATTTTCAGTATTTTGGATCTGCAGTTTTGACCCAGACACCTTAACTGACTTTTTTCATACTGGAATATATTTATGGGATTACGTGTATTTTTGTTGAAAAACATTTATAAAAACTGTTTTGATAAATGCTTATTTTTTACGGCAAATTATATTTTGGAATCCTTTCTACCAGACATTGGGCTTATTCCCATCATCTTTGAAAGGCATCTTGCCATTGGTCTCAGTGGGAGCAAAATCAGATCTGAATTTTGTGAGAATTCTAGTATAAATTTGCTGTCTTGCAGTCTCAAATTTCCTTTGAAAAGCCAAATCTTAAGAATGCGTGTGAAGCAATTATCTCCCACATTTCAGATCTTTAGATAAAAATTGCACATAAGGAACATATTGTATGTCAGGCTCATTAGGCTCATTACAGGAGGGGTTTGTTACGTATTTTTTTTTAATCCTGAAATACATTTGATATTTGCGTATTTCTAGAGGGAAGTGTAACAAAAATGACAGATTGGTCACCAAGGGAACCAACGTACTGTGTAGATGATGTTTTTGTGTTAGTAAAAGTCTACTCATTTTTTCTCTGCTCCAGAGTTTACTATGCAGTGTCGAATGAGTGCAAACACCACATGTTCCTTCCTGTAGTCATTCATGCATTGTTTGCAGTGTGCTCATTCAAAACCAGCAGGGTGAATTTC